TAGGGAGAATTTCTCTAAGCATTGAGCCAGAGCTGAGGCTCGTGTTAATTAAAATTGGGTTAATTATAATAACTCTGGTAGAACAGGAATAGTATAATTGGACTAATTAGAGTGGGGCTAATAATAAGAGGGTTCAAGCCACAGCAGCCACTGTACAAAACCAGCACCCAAGTTCTTGAAAGGTTTCCTTGGACTTGTGTCCCACACAACTCAAGGGCAATCCAACATCTAAAAGCTGCGCCGAAGCTTTGACTGTGTTTTCCCGAGCATCCGGGCTTGCATCGCACCGACCATATGTCTGCCTCTGCCTGCTAGCAGATTGCACCAAATATTTTCCTTTTTTATCGTGGCTGAGCAAACAAACACCATCTGCGGGGCTCGTCGAGGGAAATCCCGGCCCCCTCTGCCCCAGCGGGAAGGCAGCCGCGCGCATCCGGGGGGCCTGACGTTTCTGCCACCCGTGCCCTGAGACGAGAGCGCTGGTGGGCAGCCAGCTGGGCTCCCTCCTGTTTTGCTTTTCTCTGTTTCTTGCCTTTCTGTTGGAAACCCCTCTTCTCCCACTTCTGGAAAAAACAGAAGGGTAATCTCAATTTCGTAAAATCCCCTGCAGTTTTGACCCAGCTGGAGATGCACAGAAAGCTCTCACCGAGTGAAGGGCCCGGTGGACGTGGATGTAAATTACTTGTCACCTTGGTTGTTTTCCCGCTCGCACTTCTGCAGTGCTGGGTCCAAAGCATGTGTTCTGACCAAATCTTTTGTACAAGTGCCCTTTGGATTTAGCAATTCGCACAGCAAAAGCAGAACCGATGAACCACAGGCTTCTCTGCTGCTGCCTTTAATTAAAAATGCCATGTCTAACACTGGCAGATGTTTCTGCTATCGAGACTTGACTAATAATTTAATGCCGTGTAATGCAATGCTGACTGTGCTGCTTACTCTGAAAGTATAATAGACTTTTTTTATTATTATTATTTCCTTTTGGGGATCAAATCACTCAATATTTGAAATCTTAAAGCTCGATAGTCTAATGGCCCTAACCAATTACTGCACCGAGTGATCTCAGCAGCCCCGTATCTTTCAAGTCGGCGCCGCAGCCTATGATGCCTCTGAGACCGTGGTAAGCTCACAGGGCTTTGGGCGCACGGCAAAATTGGCCCCAGAGGGGCGGCCCGAGGAGCAAACTAAGCCTGTTAAAGTCTTTGATTCAGATGTTTGGGGAAAGAGGGAATTCAAAGCGCGATGCTGCCCTTCCTCTGTTTTCTTTTTCAGTCTTCTGCCGAAGGAGACCCATCCTGTCACTTGCAGCGGGCGCTCAGTATGTTGAAGCTGCGGTGGCGCTGGTGGGGAGCGGTGGTTTCGGGATGTGTCCCGTATTCGGGTGGACGAGAGGAGAGGGACCCCCTCTTGGCAGGTGCTTTGGCTCTTTTAACCCCCAGGAAATTGACTGACTTGTAAGACTTCAGGCAACTGCCTTCCTCTGCACGCCCCTTCCTGTTACGTGATGAATCATGTAATAATTGTATATTGATTAAAAAACAGCTGGGGAACTTCACTAATGAATAAAATATCAGGTACCGGTGTATTTACATAAAAGGGTCTTTACCAGACGGGCAATGCTTTGAAATTAAGCAGGAGGCAGATGAGGATTTTTTTACCTTCCTCATCAGCCGGGAAGCCGAGCTCCATCCTTCAGCATGGGTTTTGCTCTGGAGCCCTGCATTGTTTGAAAATCACATTATCAGTTTAGCACAGCGAAGATGATCGTTGCCTCGGCAGGGTATGGAGCAGCTGATTCATGCACGTACCGAACGCAACTGTTGCACTATATCACACCACTGCTGAAACCATTTTACTGGCTTTCTGTCATGCAACAAATTTATTTTAGAGTGTGTGGGCCTTATACTGCCTGGAATGGCTTTACTTGTACTTTAAATACTGCATAAACCAAATTTAGAGATATATTTCTCGCTTCCCCCTGTTCTCTGCATCATTTTTTTTTGCTTCTGACTGTCCAATTGGTTGCAGTAATTCACTGCAGGGGAAGACGTTTCTTAGGTTTCCAAGAGCGCCAATTCCTTAACCTTTATAAAATTAGGGAGAATGAATCACTCGTGACTTTTACATCTTTCTCGAACATGAGTATTTGTTAGATGCTGGCTGCCCAGGGCAGTGCTTTGCCTCAGTTTGGCTTAGTTGTAAATGTTTGTAAATTTGCACATAATGTCTCAGCACAATGGAGACTACGTGCGCACACGTAGATTTATTGAGAGGGACACTAAACATATTTCAGCCAGAGGAAAGGAAGACGAGGTACTTACCTGTTTTATTGTCCTATACAGTATATATCAGCATCTCATATTTTGTGAACATAAATGCCAGGTTGACTCAAGAGATCTATGGATCAAGTGTTGTTTGTAACCTGCGCTGAACGCTTCAAATTGCGTTAAAGTTTCATCTCAGCAGCAAGGCCTTTTGCCATCTTTCAGTAACCCTGGTGCACTGGGAGACACCGGGTGCTGTTTTTTTGGAGCACAGAATGAGCAGACAACAGCCACGTAAGATGGAGTAGGATGTTAAGGTTGCATCTGGCGACTGTTCATTTTTAAGGGACAAAAGACTGGTTTAGCTTATTTGGGGAGTTTAGCCTGGTTTTGGCAGCGTGAGGAAACGGGTCCCTGTCCCAGCTCCATCCCCTGCAGCCCAAGGAAAGGAGCGAGGGTTCCCTGTCCAGCTGTGTCATCCCTCTCCTGCATCCAGATGTTCTGGTGCATGCACACAGGATGGGAAGAGGCACTGTGGGACGTGCCAGTCCCCCATCTCACTGGGCTTGGGGATGAGCTCTCCTTTGGGCAGGACATGGCCCGGGGCACCTCTCCCTGCCCCCTTCCTCCTCCAAGGTAGGCAAGGAGGACGCTGTGCTGTGAAGCAGCTCACCACAGTCAGAACCTTGCCTGAGCCTGCCTGCTGCCCAGGAGCATCCGTCACCTACATGTCTCTTCACAAGGTGTGGTTTGCATTTGATTTTGTTTAACTTCCATGCTCACCGCCATGGCTGTTGTTTCTTTCCCCAGAGCTGCTTCCCTCCGTGGCAGAGGGCCTGCCGATCCCACCACCAAGGATGACAGGCCGTTAGCAAAGGGGACACCGCTCAGTGTTGTTAACGCAGCGGGGTGTTTCCTGAGGACCAGAAAACAACAGGGTATTTCCGAGATACAACCACACTTTTCACAGCTGGATCCAGGCACGCAGATGTAGCTACCACACTGTTGGTGACAACAAAGAGCCTTCCTCTCCGTGTCAGCTTGCAGATGGGGATGTCTCCATCCATCCCTCTCCCTCCAGGCGCAGGTCCCAGCTCTGCAGGAACAGTCACCTGCAAAGGATCGGCTGTTGTTTAACCCTTTGGACCTTCCACAGTTTCCTTTCTCATGGATAAGGATTGGGAGTTATCATGAATGCAGAGAAAGCCAAGAAGGTGTTTGCTGGAGTCAAGCAGGTTAGGAGAGAGGATGGCATTGATCTAATAATGGCTGGATATGCCACCATTTAAACCAGCATGACAGTGTTTCACCCTATGACACATCAGCTTGCCCCAGACAACAGTAGCAAATTTTCTCAGATGAGTGGAGTTGAGAGATTTTATGATTCCTCATCCTTGATGACTCCCTTGCACTTCTGTCTATTATTAGTAGCAAAGATAAATGTTTAACCTTCCATATAGAAAGAAAAAAAAAAAAATCCCAATTTATAACATCTCGAGTGTTAAGGAGCTGCAGAAGGAACGAACTACCAAAGCAGAGGAGTGTGAAACCTGAAAAGTGAAGAACCTCCTTCTTGGAAGACAATGATAACTTACCAAGAAATGTTTTTGGCCCTGATTTAACACTCATCGGGGAAGTCCTTCTTTCTAGATGAGCTAAGAGCTCTGGAAAATGCTCCTGTTGCCACCAATGGTCAAACTAGTCCCCCCTGCCAGGCTGCCATCGCTCAGCGGTGGTGGTACCCGACATCTCACTGCTTTCACCTTGCCCAGAGAGTGGGGACGGGGGGAAACCACCCACCCACAGGAAGCAAATGGAGGGAGACACGGGATGAGAAACGTTGCCAAAATTTCAGACGGGCTGCTGGGGCACCGCTGACGGCTGTTTTCTACAACTGTCGCCAACCAAATTTTGTGACTCTGCACTGTCACGTCCTTTTATGATGAAGTTCCCTCAAAGAATAACTCGCTTGCTTTAATCATGTTTGCTCCAAGATTTATGGCTTGATGCTTATTCACCGGTGGAGCTTCTCGACACAAAATGTCAGTAAGCCCGTTATAAATCACTCCTGGCATTCCTGATCTATCTTTTATTTGGCCAGGAGTATTTCCACCTGAAAGTGATAAATTCCTGCTGCAACCGCTTTATGTGCTTCAGTAATTACACTGTACAGCGATGGCAGTGGCTGCATCTATGGAGGTACCATCTCAAAAACAGCAGCTTGTAAAAAGTGGGAGATTGGGCTGAACCCCAAGATGCAACTGGATGCACAGGCTGAGGAAAAAAAATACACTCTCAGAACTGATAACAATGGCAACTAGCGAAATATCTCTGTCAGACTGAAGCTGGTGGATGGGTGGAAGAGAGGGAAGAAAATTAAATTTTTAAAACTGTGGCGCCCCACCTGGCTGCCAGGCGTGTGGGGAGGAGGCCCTCAGCACTACAGCCTGCCCGTTTCTGGCCTCGCTTGGGTAGGGGCCGTTGGTGCTGTTGTTAGACGCGTTCGCTATAGATCAGCAGATGGTGGAAAGATGTATAAAGCACAAAAGGTCTGGGGGTTGGAGCGGTTTGGGTGGCACTGAGGTCGCTGAACTCCAGCCCGCCATTTCCCTCAGCCTTCCCCTCAGGGCTGGCCCCGCCCCACTGCCGGAGCGCGGGAAGAGCGGTTTCCCCGCCCGCGCATGCGCGCTGCCGAGGGCGCGCAGCTCTCCGCGCTTGCGCAGCGGTTGCGGGCGGGGAATTTGGAGCAGCAGCAGCGGGGAACGATGCGGGCAGCGCTGCGCGGCCGCTCGGGCAACCAGCCCCTCAGCGCCGCCCCCATGGCGCTGCCCGGCCCGCGCTGGCCCCTCACTCGCGCCGCGCTGGTGCGGCTGGAGAGCGCGCTGAGCTGCTCCCGCTGGTGAGAGATGTCGTGTGTCCGTCCCCTTCCTTCCACCCCCCCCCGCCGTGCCCACGCGTGTTAAAAGCGCCGCGTTTTTCTTTCCTCTTCCCGCAGCGCCGGCGTCCTGCGGCAGCCCGTGTCCCTGGGGCGGTGCGAGCACGTCTTCTGCCGGTGAGTAGCGGGGTGCGCCGGGGCTCGGCCGAGGCGCCGCGGCCCGCTCCGTGCCGCCGGGCTGTGGGGAAGCGGCTGGCGCCTCGGGGAGGCGGGGGCCGGGCCGCCTGGGTGGGCGGGAGAGGAAAGCGGGAGCTGCTCCCGCCCCGTAAGCCCGGCTGGCTACGGGGGTCAGGCTTTTGGGGTGCTGTCCGAGGCTTCGGGGTGTTGGCCAGGTGTAAAGGGATCCCTCTGACTGATGGAGGGGGGAGTGCACTAAACCGCTTCTAGTTCTTCTCGTCATCTCTTAGCTCCTTCCTCTTCCTCCCTTCAAAACAAATTAAAAAAGAGGAGCCTGGAAAGGTGCTTCCTGTTTCCATGAGGGGTTTTGCTCTGCTTGAGTGGATTGAGTGCTGCTTGTCATTGCTTTGGCCTTCCGCTGTGCTTTGCTCCTTCAGACCTGCCCCTGTAACTGATCTTGTATTCACACCCATCTGAACACGTTGAGATAACATGAGTCCCTTTACTAATAGTTTATCAAATAATGTGTCTTAAAAAAAAAAAAAAAAGAGTTAAACTAGAAATGTCCTGCCAACGAGGCAGTTCTGAGGAGGTGGCAGTCACTTGGCCTGTCTTAGGACTGCTCACTGCATTGTCAATACAGGCGGAGTCTGAAATGTTTGTGCCTCAGAACTTCCTTTGGGGAAGGTGCTGGAACCTTCTGGCTGTCCTGAAAGTCGCTACTCTTCAAGGCATGCAAATGCAAACACAGGGAGTTAAAAGATCAGTCATATATCTTAAACATGTTCTCTGCGTGGCCCAGATGTGAGCTATTAAAATCCTATGCTTGCTATGACAGAGAGGGTAGACGCTTTCTAAACTCTGCTTGTAAGCCAGTCTAGATATTCAGCTTTGCCTCTTGTTAATACCAAAACCACTCTGTCAATAAAAGCAGAGGAAAAGCCTCCCTCATGGCTGTGTATTCATTCCCTGCCTTTAGCTGCACCTTTCTAATGGGAACTTAAAAGTGTTGAAGGCCTGGAGGGTAAAATACTAGCAAAAGATTTTCTTGTTTTTTTAAGGAGTAACTGATTACGGGACAGTATGGATGTATTAAAAGATGCACAAATGACTTATTTCTATCCAGACACGTGGGTTCTTTCCCAGCTTTGCTATGAATTGCTATAGAAGATTCTGCCATCTGACCAAGTTTTCTGTTATTTGTTTCATTTGTGCTACCTGCCCATAGAGTACTTGGTAAAATAACCCTCAGAAGCTTGTACAAGTTATTTGTAAATATGTTCATATCTATCTAATAAAATATTTTCTTCTCAGGTGTAGTGCGGATTGCTGAAAGATAGTGTGAGGGTGGCTTAATAAACATAATTGTTCAGTTGTTGGACATTTAAGGCCTTGCAGCTTTATTTTGGATAACCCCAGTGTATTCTAGGTGATAGATTTCAGACACCCAGTGTTTGTTTGAAGTATTACTTTTTTTAAGAAAAATTTTCAAGACGTCAGTGCAGTTTGCGTTGATGAGGCTGGAAAGAGAAGCTAATAGGAGTCTTAAGCACTCATTAGCAGCTATTTCTTATTCCAGAAGAATAGTTTATTTGCTATTTTCCAAGTTACTGCTACACCTGATCTTTTCTCTTTTATATGCCTGACCTTTTAGTCATCAATTTAATATGTCCCTTGATTACCTAGTCTTGGATAGGCATTTTTTTTTTAAATAAACCTAAGGAAATTTAGATTAAGTTGTTTACAAACAAATGTGGTAGGACGTGGATTGAATCTGCAGTATACAGACAGTAAACTGATTCTGATCCACTGCTAGAGACAGATGTTTATTAATATACATGGAAAGGATGTATAGTGTGATGTGAAGATGTGAATGGCTGGAGCTGGCTTCTGTTACCTGAAGTGAAATATGTGAAACTAATGACTGCAATAATCAGGTCACATGTAATGTAACTGGTTCTTCCTCAGCATGGGTTTTATTATGGGCAGGGATCAGTTTCTGCAGTTTTGACTGAATAACTCTGCAAAGTTAGTTACAGTCATCATCCATTAACTATAAAAACCCAACAGCTAGAAGTAATTAGGAAATGTCGTGGAATAAAAGTCATTGTGCATTTCCTTTCCACTACCTTTTACAGGCAGCGGAGACCTGAGGCCAACTTTCCTAGAGAATGAGGCCTGGTTAGTTCTTATCTTTGCTTCAGGTGATTTGTCAATGTCATCTAGAATATGTCAGAGCCAAGACTTGTACTTCAGTCTCCTGATCATAGGAGTCCCTCAACCATGAAGTCCTTTGCCTGCTCCGGGCAGAGCAGGCTGATTAAAGCACACCTAGCAGCAATTTTTACATGCCACGTTTCCTGTTTTGGGATTAACTGAAGGCGTGATACATGCGTGGTGTTTGAGGGAGAGATGCCAGTGCAGAGAACAGATCTGAAAATAACTCTCCTCGTAAGGAAAGTGGTGGTAGTTTTAACTCTGGTATTGGTAACTACTAGTTTTGGGGTGTATGTCTGTCAGCTTCTGAGGTGACTATGTTTAGAGTTGAGATGCATAGACTTTGATCTTCCTCTCCAGTTAGCAGTGCCTTGATATTACTTGCATTCTGTTCCTCTGAATGTTTAACGTGATCTACTCACATTAAATGTTATATGTTTGGCTGGAATTTTGCATGCTACGTGGTGGTAAGGTAGTGGAGACTTTTGAAATTAATTCAGTCTTGGGTATGTAAGATTATAACCTATATTTAATAGGATAGATTAGAGTTGAGATGCAACATTCAAGGGCCATTGTTATAACTCAGATGGCAAATCGTAAGGTCTTCTCACTGGACTAATCAAATGAATAAAAAATTTTAAGCTTATATGGGGAGGATAGTGTTACTAAGAAGCTACAAGTGTTAAATGACCTCTACTGAGTATATCTGTTTCTCCATTATCTTCTGATATACATGCTCTGAAAGAGAAGAGTGATGGAATATTCAGAACACCTGCAGACCCATGTGGGACTTCTTACAGAAAAGTGTTCAGACAGGTGAAACTTCACAATATCAAGAAAATGTTAAGTAGGAAAAGGTGGAAATGATAGTTTACTATGGGTTGGCTTTTTGTCACTCATTTAAAAATAGAAGGTCACAAAAGAGTGGCCCTACCTTTAGCTGAGGTATAAAAAAAAATGTGTAGTCCTAATTGTTACCTGGAGACAAGCAGCAACAGAGCTGTAGCATACCTTTAAAATTTGTACCAGCTTGTGAGTCTGGGAGTCACAAGATAACAGGTCTTTCGTGACAGTGTCCTGACAAGGCTCTGGACTTGGTTTGCTTAATTATGGCTTGTCACTTGCCGTGATAAATATGTCCTCTCCTGCAATTGTGACTAACTCATGTGGGCTTTACAATAGTGGTTTGTCAACGCTAAAATAAGAGATTCTTGCGGAGCGTTTGGCTGTGAAAAGGTTGATAGCGAGTACAGTAGATAACTTAGGCTGGATAATGGATTTTTACATTTGGCTTTCAGATCTTGCGTGGATGACTGTGTTGGCACAGAATGCCCAGTGTGCCACATTCCAGCCTGGGTGCAAGATGCACAGATAAACCGCCAACTAGATAACATGATTCAGCTTTGCAGCAAACTGCGGCATCTGCTGGGTGCGGACACCTCAGGTAAGAGCGGCCCCGGGGCTCCGGCGGCCGATGAATCCAGAGCGCTCCGTTTCATTTCACAGGCTTCACAGCGAATGAGCGGTGCAGCCCTGTTTAACATTCCGAAAGGCTGTTCCGAATCATGTTTGGAAAATTGATTTGAAGAGAACTGTCTGTATGGATTGCTCGTTCTTTGAATCTGTTTTACTAAGAAATCTGCATGAGCAGGTTAGTCCATAATTCATTAGAATCTGTCTTCCAAAATTAGACGGAAGTGGGATAGATTCCCAAGTCACGTGGCGGTTAGCTGCACAAAGCAGGGGCACAAGTTGTCATATCTTGTGCTCTTCGGGGAGCACAAATGTGTAAAGTTCTGCAGTGTACACTTCTTTAGGGGGGCCCTGTTAAAGGACTAATGCATATACTTTCTTGCCTCTTGCACACCGAGATGTGCGTGTTGTCCCAGTAATTTTCAGTTTAGGGCTTTTGCACACGGAAAAAAATTACCTGTGTTCCTTGCCTAAAAGGGGAAGGAGGCAAGTCTGGACTCATTGATTTTCTGGTCCCTCACAATCAGCTAGTCTGCTACAATGGAATTTTTTAATTGCTGACTGTGCTAGAAGATGCAGAGATCGTACTCTAGGAATGTATGTCTATTCTACAAGCTCAGAGAGGAGCCTTTTATGTAATACCAAGTTTTAGAAAACATTAATTTTGCTGTCAGATACAGAAAGGGTAATTCTTCTTTCCTTCCTTGTTGCTTCTTATTATTTTTGTCTAAATTAAAGATTCTTTTTCTAAGTCTAATCCCATCAGCATCTTCATGTTCATTTATGGGGTAGTTCTTTATTGACTTCAAAATACATTTAGGTGAGGAGGCTGGAAGCCTATACCCAACTGTAAAGAAATACATTTTATATAGATACCAAATCCTATGGTGATTAAATTTTCTGGAGCACAGGAAATGTAGATGATGTCTTAAATAGGTTTTCAGGGAAACATTTTAAGTGGTGAAGGCTTTTAAAAACACAGTTGGAAGAGAATCTCGGAGAGGAGGTGTTTGTGATGCCATAAATAAAGCGTTTAAAATACAACACGGTAGTATTGTTGATATTTAAACATTTTGGAGAACTCTTACAGATGGATGAGCTCTTAAAAATTGGTCTGATATTTAATTGTACTAGAAGTTGAATAATACATTTAATCCAATAGTTCTTCTAAAATAAAGTTTGCATGGTGTGGCTAAACCACAGAACAAAACAAGGTTCTTATTGTTCCTTGTTCTGACTTAAAAGCAGACACAAAATTGAAGTTTACGAGAGTGTCTGATTTGGAGCCGAAGTTATGAACTGATGTGGGAGATTACTTTCCATCACTTCCAGTCTTTGCAGTGTACTAAGGATTAGTGGCCTTTTGGATGTTTCATACCGAGGCTAAAGGAAAAACCTCCCGAGTTGGTGATAGTTCACTGTCAGGAATGGTTTGGATACAGAAGTAAATGAGCACACCTCTAACTAAACAGCCAGTTATATCTTGTACCATGGCAAATAAGAGTGCTGTTGCTTTAGAGATTTCGAGAGCAAATCCTTCAGGATGTTTTGTCACTCATCACTGGCAAATCTGTCACCTCCCATAGATGCATATCTTGAATTTAATGTATACAAAGTGAAATATGTTTGAGTTTGGAGAATCAGGGCTTCTCTTCTTGAAGTGTTGCTTTCATGTTCTTATGGCACTACTTGTGCCACGTTCCTGTCAACAATATTTTCTTTTCTTTTTTGTTATAAGGTCAGAAATTGTATTTTATATTCCACTAAAGGAAATGGGCAGAAAAATCAATTTTTCTGTGGAGGAAATGAAAAGAAGCGGTTGAAAAAGGGATCTTTCCATACATTTGTTTTGTATGACTTCTGTATATTTGTTTTATATGCCTTGTTTTGAGACAATTGTGGCTTGCCCCAAGGATCCTTGTTGACACTGAAGTTTCTAATGCAAATGCATCATACTACCCATTTTTTAATCTACGACAGACCTACTGAACGCAGTAAGTTATGTGTGTTGCCTTTAAAAACACACAGAACTACTGTGACTGAAAAGGATAGGGTTAAGCTCGCATATAAACATCCCTCTACCCCCAGGATCCCCAGTGAATATGAGAGGGATCTCACTTAATACTCCACTGGGATAAGGATAGCTTTTTGCTGAATTGCGTGTGTGTGTGTGTATTCTTAGAAGCAACAGCAAATAATTCAGGAAAGACTGCACAAAATGGCTAATGCTTCCTTTTGGAATTGAAGGGAAGCACAGCAAATGGCACAACAGGATACTACTGGGGTGTTTAAAGGGGGATCTGACAAACAACAAACCTGAAACTACCTAGAAAATGCATGCAATAGGTAACAAATGCTGAGTCTCAAAATTAATTCACTTGTTAGAGATGTTACATCCTCAGTCTGTGTCAAGGTGAGGAGAGCTGTCTGACCTTTTCACTGCCTAGTGTACCTTTATGAGGAAACTATCTGGCTGGCAGGCAGATGGGATGTCTGCACCTCAAATTTTTTAGCTCTAATGTTGCAGAGTCTGAGACATATTGAGAACTGGAGTTGGTGGGATGATGGGCTTCATAGGTGGGTGATTAGTAAGAACTTCTTGAATCATGGACATAGTGAATATATAATATACTAGAGATGAAGAAGGTTAATTTACAGTAATGATTTTGAAAGTGAACTTGTAAACACTTCAGTGGATTTTTCTGTGTGGTCTTCTTTAAAAAGAAGAGATTGACGTAGATTTTCACAACCATTTATAGATGATTTTACCTTATTCTTTGTAAAATAACCTGCTTCACTAACACTGTCAAACAGAAGGCCTTATTCCACCCTTGGTTAAAGTTTCCTAAGGTCACATTGATGCTGGTGGACAGTGGGAGAGATTAACTTTTCGTTAGCCTTTATAGTGTCGTAATTTAGTTTCACACTTACTGATGTGGGGGGAAAGATCTTGAACTGTTGTAACAGATTACATTGCATTTCATGTATGCTATGACATTTTTCATAATAGCTAAAGATGAGGTTTTTGAATAGCTGGAATTTTTCCCTTTCCCCCTGCGTTGAATACTTAACTTGCAAAATAATCATTCTTCAGTGAAGGCACTAATGTTGCACAGATGGTACCAAAGCACTTCCCTTTGATTTTTAATAAGGGACTAGTTTGTCAAAGAGATTTCTCAACTTCTGTTCTGCAACCCATAATAGAGAATAATTTGAAAGGCACACAATGTGCATCATTATATTCCTTTGATGCAGATTAATGATAGCTAAACCACATTTTCTAATTGCTCCTTTTTTTCCTGCTCTAGCCTGTTATTGCACTACAGCGGAACTTGGAGATGTAGTGCTCTAGTTGCAAGGCACTGCATATCTCTTAATATTTGTTTGCTCTCAACCTTTTTAACGCTTAAGAAATTCAACTCTATTAAATGTCAGCATTAAGTAACTTGTGCTTATTGTGTGCAAATAAGTCTAATTTAGAAAGAATTCAGTTGATATTTTTGTGTATATGCATGTGACATTTAATATGTAATGGAAAGTAAATTTACTACATTTACTATCAGCTGATTCCAATACTGTTATTGTGGACAGTCTTTCTGCTATTGCAAATGCTTAAAATCTAGAATTAGTAAGACATGCTTTGCTGCTTTTACTTTTGTCTCAGTGCATCTAAATTTTGGGAGGATACTTCTTATGTGTTAAAAAGGCAAATCTTAATCATATATAGTCATTTTTTCTTTCCTGTTGAGATGCTGCAAGCTCTGGCTTCCAACTTGGAGACAGCAAAGAATTCCTTTGGATTGATTTTTCTATAGGCAATTTTCTCTGAAGGTAGTTTAACTGAATGCACTTAGCTACCAGATAACCACCTCTTTATACAAGTTAATGTTTCCATATTAAGCCATAAGAACTTCCTTTCAGTTTCTTAGCACTGTGTCTCTTCTGTCTGTCTCTCTCTCACAGATCTGGGTCCATCAAAGGATTAGATTTTCAGGGAGGGTTGGTCATTTGTCCTTATTACTTCTATATCCTACCTTGTATGCTTTGGAAACGGAGGAAAGGGGCAGCAGTGTCTAAGAATAATCCTCTTTGCAGATGCTACGCAGAACTGTTCAGGTACAGTTGATGTTAGCTACAGAGTATTCCAAAGGACGGAGTTATTGAAGAATGGCTGAGAGAACACACACGCTGGCAGAAACTTCAGTTCCTTCCCCAGTAGGCTCTGGAGATGCTCTGGGTGTGCACAGCTGGCCTCTCGCTGTGACTGATCTCTTTCACAGCATGCACGGCCTTTTCATCATGTCCCATCGGTGCCTCCCTGTTCTGAAATATGCAGTGTACTCTTTTACACCTAAAGTAGTTGCATGTGAGGAAGAATAATCCTGGGAAGGTATTTATTTGGTGTATTTTCAGCAGGTTTGTAATAACCTGACTAGTAAGTCTCTGCTGAGCAACCAATAATGAGCAGATCAGTTTAAGAACCCTTGTGGTTGATTTTTTTCACAAGCTTTCTTGCTGCCAGAAGTGGTACATACATAGCTTCCAGTGTAAATACTTAATTGTGTTATGCTGCTTTAGATCGCACTTCTGAAGGACACTGCCTTTGATTGAATTTGTCACTTGGACTTTAAAGTCTTACTGTGCTATACACATCAAAAAGAATTCTGGCTATCACAAAATTGTTGCACAAATTACTTTTGCAAGCTGATTTTATTCTTGCTCTTTACTTGGATATGACTGATTGCTCTAGCAAGGTAAATATTTTAGAAGGAAATCTGCTAGTTGTGTAAACAGTGAAGGCAAGACAAGTAAATAGTAACTGTGGTTTATATTTTACATCCGCTTGCAGTCAAGCTCTTCCTTTTTTTTAGATGTTATTGTCAGAATGAAATTGGCTATGATAACTTTCTGAAGGCTAGCTAGTTATGAGATTTCAGTATCGATTTTGGTGCTTTTTTTCTGTTTGCACCAAGCCCAGTCCTACAGAAGAAAATAGGTGCAGTTCTGTACTTGATTATCTTTAGATACCTAAATGATTGATTAGCTAGCCTCAAGCTGTATTCTTAAAGATACTCTTGGTCTGATGCCTTACATATTCCTCTAGCTAAATCTCCCAATATCTAGCATATTTTAATTCAAGGGATAAATAGGGTAATTTAAATCAAGATTGAGGAAACATTTAACCTTGAAATACTGCTTTGAAAGAAAACAGAAAATGTCTATTTTGCTGTTGAATTACTAGCTATACAGTTTTAAATGAAATTTCAAATGTATTTTTTTGTGGTTAATGTGTTTGGGTCTAGTTTGTCTGTTGCCAGTGAGTTTATCACATTTTGCTGTGGAAAACAGGCTATAGTTACTAACACCAAAAATAGAAGAGAAAGTATGGAGAAGACAAATTATCTGTAGAAAGTTAATGCACTGAAGTGAAAGTAATACACTGTGGCAGCGACTGCCTGTCGCTTTTAATCATCGAGACTTTGCATGGTTTTTTTTGAAGAATTTTTAAACAAAACCACTAGTCTTCATCTTAGTTCTGTTTATTAATAATACCATACTTGCCTCACTAGGCAAAATTAATATTGATTTTGTGATTGATTGCTATAAATCACCAAGATTTTTGTGAATGTGAACCTCCCTGAGGTTGGAGGCAACAGAAAGAATAAGTTGTGCATTTACTTTGGAGGACTTGTCCAGATAACCTAAAATAACTCAGGTTTCCAAGAAGAAATCTGTAAAAAATGTTATAGTTCTTTTGCACTGAAAAAGTTGTTGAATTAATGTCTAACTTAGAGGTTGCTTTATGCTTCTTAATTTATTCTTAAGCCACTGAGGACACCGTTTATAGCCCTTGTCCTCAACTGTTATTTCGTGCACTGGGAATACAGGGTATTCCTCTGTCATCTTGGTTACTGATTTGTAATACGCTGCATGATGTGACTTATAAAATTGCTCCACCGCCTATTTTTAAAGAAATATTTGAGATCTCAAAATGTTTTGCTTGCTTGGAATTATTTACTATCAAGGGATAAAGGATCAAATGATAGGACACAATTACTTACAGATTTTTCTATATATTCCTCTAGTTCATCTGCTGTATCTGTGGAATCAGTCAAAATTTCCCAGGAATGTTCAGCATTCTTATAAGGATGTTATTTTGCTTGCTTGCACTTATTGCTCATTTGCAGATGAACTGCAGTGCCTTTTTAGAAAACTGTTTCTGTGCTCTTTTGTGTATGGGTAGACTACTTGTTTCCAAGGAAAACTCAGTGGAGAACCAGCTTCTGTCCTCTATAATCTGATCAAAAATCTGCTGTGCATGTGCTGTGTTGTGAACACAGACTATGGAGAAACTTCTCTAGCAGGGTGCTCACTTGCCTCATGGATAGCTTTAGCTGCACTGGGATCCCTGAACTAGAGTGGCGTGTGACCTTGCCCGTTGTCTTAAAGCCATTACATGTGACTCTTCAGGAGAAATGAAGGCACACATAAGATGTATTTAGTAACACTTTGTCAGTTATTACAGTTGTTGTTCTGTTCTTTTTTTCTTTGCAATATTCTACCGAAGAGTACTCTACAAATTGTTTTTCTTCTTCCCCGATGCACTTAGATTCAACGGCAGATGTGTCCACACCAACTGACTCAGACTTTGAAAAAAAGAATAAAAAGGAACAGATAAAAATGTGGTTCAGCCCAAAAAGTAGGAAGATTCGATGTGTCCTGAACAGCACTCAGCCTGCAACAAAAAGCGATCACCTTTGTCAAGACACATCTTCAGTTTATGATTTCCTTCCTTCCCCTCCTCGTGAAAAGCCCTCCAAGCCGACAAAGAAGCCAACACAGGCACAGAGTAAGAAGATGAAGAAGAAACATCTATCAGACATTAACAAAGTGTGGAGCTTAGAGAAGCCTGAGCAGAAAGGAGGAGCTAAGAAGACTGACAAGGAAAAGTGTGTGACCATCTGCAGCCAACCGGTAGTCCTATGTACTCCAGAACCAAATAGTCCCGAAGAGACTCTTCAGCAGGAGTCTATAAAGGAAGATGACTCCAGCAAAAATACAGATGTGGAAATATCAGCACAGGCAAAATCCTCAGAGGAGAAAGATAACAGTGAAGTTGCATGCCCTGTACAAGTCAGAAAGGGAAAATATTGTGCTACTGAGACATCTCTGCCAATAGAAAATGAAACTACACCTTTGAAACGTGGAAGGCAACAATCCAGACTACCAGTGACTTCTCAGTCTAAAAGACCAAGAACAACTGAGAGGAGCAGTACTGAGAAGTCGGGCAAGCAGGGAGATTGCTTAGAGGAGTTACCTCAGGGTTGCCCCATCTCCCCAGCGTCTGAACACAAGACACCAGTTCAGATTTCTTCCTCTGTATTGAAACTCACTGACACCAAAATGAAGACAAGAAGTTCTGCAGTCTTTCAAGCAATAAATACCCCTTCACTTTCAAAATGTCCCTCTACCCCATCTATTTCTAAGACTTGTGATGAAGTAGGAATACCACGGAGTCCTTCTCTGCTGAAGTCTCCTGGAGGTAAAGAAATTGCCAGAAGAAATCTCAAAGGAGAGACTTTGCTCCACGTTGCTTCCATCAAGGTAGGACCATCATTTTCTAGTTCAACTTTAAGCAGAGATTTAAAAAGACAATGTTGTATTAAAAATATCCTGGAAACCAGTTACTTAGGTACATCCTCTTTCAGTGGGGGAAATCTCATCTTATGGTCTTTTTCTTCTAGGTTTGTTAGGGAGGTTTTCAACATGATTCTATGATTTCATAAAGAAATTAATACTGGAATGATCCAAGATGCTCATACTTGAGAAACTCCATGTACTACAGTGTCAGTTATACCTATGAGTTCAGGGAAGTGATAAGCATTCAAATGTTTTGGCCTTATATGCCAGAAAGCTGTCTTTGATTTGCCGTAAGGAGTTTAGCTAAGTATTTCAGATGTGACTAAATAATCTTGATCAGTTTAACTTGACCTGGTAACTCAGCCAGGACAAGATCTGATTTATCTACATGAGGATAACTCACAATCTGAATCGAGGTTAACTATTTCATAATCTTTGAGATCCTCCATCTGCTGCAAGAGTTGGCTCAAGAGGAATGAAATGCTGCGCCCTGGGGTTCCCATGCAGAGCCCTGTGCCCTGAGCATGCTGTCCTCACAGGTAGTGGAGAAGGGAGAATTAGGACAGAGCTGGGATGTTCTCAGTAGTCTTGTGTAAGATCAATGTTATTCTTGGAATGACAGCTGCCACTCATTTGGCTGTTATTATCTTAGCCAGTTCCTGCTGGTAGAACTCCATGGCTTTGCTCTTTGTGAGGGCTGTCCTTCCCTATTACTATGTGAAAGCTGCATGCAGCTGGGTAAGTTGAATGCTCCCAGTCAGACCCATCAGAGGCACTAATATGGCAGCTCTCTCCTGAGAGGTCATTTCAAAGAGTTTGTAGTCTGGCAATTTAAATGTACTTTGTGCTAAATCATAATATAGAAATACGGTGTGGTTAATAAACTGCCTATACTATACCATCCTATAACTGATTCACCTGTAAGCATCCTGGCATTTATTCAGCACTTCTATTTGTTGAGAGAAAAACTGTTCTTGATAAATAACTGTGTCTTCTTTCAAAGGCATTCTAATAAGCCACTCCTGCTGCACGAGGCTTTCATAAATAGAAATGGCAGCCAAACTGACTTGAGTTCAAATATCTTATTCGATGCTATTAATATGTAATTAGGGAGGGGAAAATGAAACATTGTCCTCACAGGACTTGAGGCCTTTAAAGGAGGCATCTCTTGTTACCTCTCATCAGAAGTCCTGTATATTCCTTTTTATTAAAGCCCTATTTACAAATTATCCTTCCGTGATTTTCTGGGAGTTTGTAAGGAATACTATTATAACTGACTAATTAAAAAAAAAATTATCTACCTTGACAAATTTTCACACAGGTATGGTTTCCAGCAATATGTCTGATACTCAATGTGAGATTTGGGGTAAACAGTGATGTGCCAATAATGTCCTTTTCAACTGCAAAGAGTTTTGAAGATAAATGAGTAAAAATGAAAACACTGATGCTATAGACAAAAAGAATAAACAAGTTTTGGCTATCCCAGATTAGTGGCGTGGCTGGCACTGCTTGTTGGCTTTGGTACAGCCCTCTCTGAGAAAGAGATAGGGCTATTTCAGTGGGCTGAAAAGCTGACCTCCAGCTGTGGTGTGGGCGGGGGGGTGGGCATACACATGAATGCTTTTTTTTTTTTCAGTCCTGTGTGTGAATTCATTTTGGTGTTGTCTTTAAATGTTTATAATTACTAAGCTAAAATGGGAAGTTGCTTCTGTTCCTCATTAGTTCTGCTGTGCTTTTAGTTTGTCGATTCCATTTGCATTGAGGTGCTCATTAGTAAAGGCTTGTTTAACTAGGTAGTGCTTTAGAGTGATCTCAAAGTTACCACTCTTTTAAATTTAATTAAAATAAGGCAAAGAGAGTGGTCTTTTGGTGATGGTTTTAGTTTACTTGCAAGTATCTTTCTTTCCAGCTATAAACTTCCAGTGCAACTCTAAGGAAGTTGTTTCACTATCTCTGAACCCCAGTTCCTCATCTGTAGAAGGAGGTTATACAGATTATCTCCTTTCATTTGTGGTGTTCTTTGTTTTTGTTATATAGCTTAATCACAGGTCTATTATGGCCTTCCTAAGAAGTTGCTGCATCCCCTGGTAGCCAGGAAATGTAGGCACTGTTACTAGTCCGTGTCAAAGAGGGTTAAGACTAAGTTGCTCAAGCCAGTGTGATGTGAGGATCTGATCTTTCTAAAGAACTACTGGTCATGGGTTTTGGTTACATTTTACTTTTTGAAACAGTAAACAAGAAATAGTAGTGATTAATTACCATGAATCTGCTGGGGATCTGTGTCGATTACAAGAAAACATTTTTTGACATGTATGTATCTTTCGTATAACTTGTATGTTTCTAAATTGTAGGAACCCTGCTATGGAACTGATAAATATGTTTTCTCAAAGAAACTGGTCTTGAAAATACTAAGGTTTATACTGTATGTAAAGTCTCATTGTGTTTTTCTTTGAAAATAGACCTGTCATTTTTTCTGTTTCTGGAAGAAGTATTTCCCTTCCATTTTTGTTTTATAGGTGATTTTTTTTTCCTTGTTCTTTCCACAGCCAGTAATGTTCTTCCACGTGTGTAATGGGAAACAGACTTGTAGCTGCCACCCTCCCCCTAAAGTGAAATAAAGTCTAATTCTCTTGGACTTCATTAATTATAAAAATAAATCTCTATTATTTTCATTAGCTGTTAGGGTCTAATACCCTGAATTTAATTAAAGCTAATTGAGTTCTCCCTTTTTTTCTTATTTAAAAGAGATAATAAACAACATTATCAGGCATTAAAATTAAGTGTATTGTGCTGTTTCAAATGATTCTGAGGGATTGTCCTCATTTACTACTACTAGTTATTAACTTGCTGAAATCAAAATGGTTCTCAAGAAAGGTTCTAGTGTAGATGAACTTAAATGCTGAGTTAAACCAATGAATTAAAATAAATGTGGCTCTTCCCATAGCAAACAGCAGTCATGTTTATCTTCTTCCATAGTCATTGAAGGTAAAACTTCCAATTAGTTAAAATACAAAATGTCACCTATTGTAGTCCTAATGTTCTAAACTGGTGTGGGAAATTGCCCAATCAATAGCCTTCCCACATAGGATTTTTCTGTTGTTTTACAGTAAAATATCAAGTTGTTCACAGGACTAGCTCTTACGTGACAATTAAAAATGCAGCACGGTACTAAACTAGTTAACAGAGTCTTAAATCTACTGTGGAGAGAGAAAAAAAAAATCATAGTGTCTTGGTTGTGCCTGTGTTTCTTCTGCATTGGAAAGGAAGGTGATGGGTGAGTGCAGAGCGTGGAATTGCTGTCACTGTGGATTTGGGGAAGAGGAATAGCGAACTGCAGGGCAACAGGGTAAGAGGACCATGGCAACAGCTGCACCATTACAAAGGAGTGGATGGGAGGTAGCTGGGGGAGGAAGTTTTGATTTTCATGCTTCAAGGTAGAAGCAATTTGAGAGTTGTCCCTGTTCTGAGGAGAGAAGAAACTGCATCTGTGCAGAGCATCTACGTAGTCTGAAGAAAGAGAGAAGGAATACTGGGGCCAGTTTTGGTTGCCTTCTGTTTCAGGGACTGTTTAGTTTTGACAGTTGACCAAGAAGGCCTTCATAAAAGCTTCACCCATGGCTAGCCAGCTGTGCTGGACTCTTCATATTCATTGCACTTAACACTGTAATAACTACTAAATAATTCCTTCTGAGCCTGTGAGACTGTTCTTCCTTTTTATTGCTTTGCTACCAGTTAATGGCACATTAGAAAGGAGAGTGAAAAAAGATTTTGTGGTTTTGCGAGCATGTAATGGCCAACATCAGAATACCTTTTAGATCTTTTTTCAGATGTCTGACCTAGTCAGCTGTGCATTTCCTTGATTTTGGTACCAGATAGGTGTGTATCATGGTTGAGATTTGGGTCACCCATACACATGGGAGGAAGGTCTCCCCTCCTGCCTTTCCTTGTGAGCCTTCAGGTACAAGAGTGGAGTTGTGCTGCTGCGTGGTCAGACACTCCCAGCCCCCCTGGAGCAGAAGGCAGTGGATGGACAGCATCGTTCCTGCCAGCTGCTTCAGTGAATGAATGCATCCGTTGGTCCAAGGACTTTTTGTTCAGATGTCATGATTTTATGCGGCAGGTGACTTAGCTGTGTGGATAATACCCATGTCATTGGAGACATGAGGTCTGCTGGCAGAAAACTAGCAGGATGACTCAGATGCAGGTGTAGCACCAGAGACTGCTTTGAAGTTCTAGTTTGACATTGACTCTAAAGTTAAAGCCAAGTGGTATAGGACTGGTAAACAGTGTCCTTGTTATGGATAGTATCCAGTATGTAGCTTAAGACAAATAAGAAGCAGTGTAATGGTTTCAAATGCAGAACTAAAGAATATGAAAACTGGACGTGTCTCAAAGCCATCCATCTTCCCACGTGCTGATTTGAAAGCTTAGAAACAAATTGCCATTTCTTTTTCTGTAATGTTTGGTTCTTCTCTTGTTTCTGAAGTGGGTTAAACATAATTTCCTGAATGTTTTCTTTTTGTTAAAGGTTAAGCATAGCTACTGGTTGTATGCTTGTTAGTTAAAAAATGGTCTGCTGGGTAGGGAATTAATTTGAGAAATTTGAGGTGAGAAACTTGCTGGTTCCTGGAAGGAGTTAGGTGGAGCATTCACAATTACTATAAGCCCTCTATAATTAATATTTGCCCACTTTGACCACTTATGAGTTGTAAATAACTTAGTTTTCTCTTTCCTGCTTTCCCCCCCCCCCCCCGACTTAAATGAGCAAATGTACTTGGGTTTGAAAGGGGGGCTTTGTTCATTTGTTTGGCCTAAAGATTGAAGTTACTTGCTTGTCTTTGCAAATAAAGGGGGAAATGTTTGGTTGGAGTGGCACAGGTTTTTAGCTTCACGTACTGCCCTAAGTCTTTGGATCTCTCTTTTGAACTAATAGAATATGTTTTCATTAACTTAATTTAAATGTGACTTTTGGGTGGAAAATATCTATGGGTAATGGAAATAGTAAAGGGTAAAATGGAAAAAAAAAAAAAACAACCCACCCTGTAAAATAGGGCTGAAAGGACATTTGCAGTTCTTTTTAACCATCTGCCTTAAAACTGTGACATAAACTGACTTGAAAAAAACAAACCAAGAAACCTTGTCTAAGCCAAGTGAGGATGGGTTTCTGGGTTTATGCCATCTGTGTCTGCAGGAACTAAATTCTCATTGGGAGGGAAGTGTTTGTAAACCTGTGCAAATACCCTTCTCTGTGTAAGCTAATGCTGTCTTCCAGATCTGCCAACAGATGGCCCTAATGCCTTTCTTGCTTCTGTGGTTTTCAGAGCTCCCTTAAGCTGTAGCAGAGGAAGAGCAAAGCCATTGCATTATTGTGTTGTCACTATACATAAGCTTTGTTATGAGTTTAAAATGTCCTTTGCTTTGTTTCTTCCAAAGGGATAGTTTTACATTCTGCGGTAGTTTCTGCCTCTTCAGAAGCTGGTTGTAATCCTTCATTGATAATGAGATTTAAAAATAAACACTTCCTTGTGAATTGTTAATGTTAGCATTTTTCTACCTGGTGTTTGTCGTGTTCTCTGTTCATGAACAAGTAGTATCTCCAGTTACGTTTCCACTCTGCTGTTGCTACAGACTGCTAAAACGCTGTGAGGGCCCCTTCTTATATCATCTGGTATGGTTATGACTCCGTGTTTGGAACTGGTGGTTTTATGCTGGCATTGGTAGATCAAGTAAACTCAAGGGACTAAATGTACCAAGTCGATTTCAGGATTAGTCAAAGCACAACTTTTTGAAGCATGTTTGAATTAGTAATTCCATACTAATAAGTGTAGTCTCTTCTGCTTTCTTGCTTGTGGAGGAAAGACATATGGTGTATAGATATTTATGACTGGGACTTGCCCCTACCAGGTCCTTACTCCTTGTTTAGAGTTGAGCAAAACATATATTAGCTTTTAAATGTAATTCCATCAACTGTGATAGAACTGGTCAAGGTGTTAACTGCACTTTTTTTACTCGTAGATCACTGTCAGATGATGGTGGTTATGCTTGCAAGAGGGACTTGTTAACATGTCTGCTAAGGATCTTCTGCTTGAAATTTAGTCTTCTGCTTTTTTTTTAACTAAATATTCACAATATGGTAACTGACTGAGAGCCTGTGAGAGGACAAAAGGCACATTCTCTTAGCTGTAAGCAATTTTGTTAACATATGTTTTGTAATCCTGGTGACAGGACCCATCCAGTCATTGCTCAGTACAATGGCATGACAGCTTCCCCTCCCTTTCTGTCACTCTCATTGCTAGGTGCTGGTTGCAGGGAGCAGGTTTAATTTACAGCTAAGGTGATGACAATATTTGTCTCCTGTAAACAGCAAAACAGCAATTTTCTAATTTTGGCTTAGACCAGTTCAGTCTGTGGATGTTGTCACTACTGGTGTCCACAGCAGCGACACTTCCTTTGATAAAACCGCAGCAATGTTTTACAAATCTGCGTTCACGTAACTATTCTGAAAAGCTGTGATACTACCTAATGCCCACACAAATTATTAGCTGTGCTTACTGTTTTAAAGGAGTACTCTTGAAATGTCAAACCTTTGCTGTACAGGTTTGCAAACTTAACTTTAAATGATAAGCTCAGATCTCGCTCATTATAGATAATTGTATCTTCTCTCTGTAGAAAAAGACCTAATGCTGAGCACTGTCTATTACCTTGCAAGCATAAAGTATTCTAAAGCAGCATATTCTTTAATTGCTTTGGAAGGTAACGTTTTGCTAGGACATCTAGATTGTGAATATAATGAATGAGATTTATCTCTGATGTATTAATTTGTTTGAGTGTTTTAACACTAGTGATTCTCAGCATTTTTTTGGTGAATTTTGAGTTTCCAGTTGTTGCTTGCTGAATTTATTTCTGCTGAGCACAGTCTGTCGTAATAATTTCTCTAGCTAAAGAGTAAAGATTAAAGCTATTTTGTTTTTCGAAAGCGTTCTTTGATAACAAAAAAATGAGAGTAAGTTTATTTTTGTTGTATTTAAAGCTTAATTTAATATTATCTCACTTTTTCTAAGGTATGTTGTAGAATAACAGGAATTCCTTGACTTGCCACTGCTGAAGGGCACAGAACTTTCTGTAAATCGTGGAGTAAACTTCTTTTCCCCCCTCCTGATCCTAATATTATATATTGCAAGTTTGGCCAAGGACAAGAGCTAGATGACAGTTTATATATTGGTCTGTTCATTTGGGGGATCATAATACTCTGGCCTAGGGAAAGTGTTAGTGGTCATCTTGAAATGCTTGGTTGGGGTAGCTAAGAAATGGTGCTTAACTGCTCCTAATTGTAACAGAGCAGGTGAGTCATTGCTTTGGCCTGAGGTGGTACCCGGTGCTGAGAGGTGTGGGACAGTCTGGCCCCGTTAGCTGTGCACCTGCAGCTGTGGGGAGCGTTCCTGGCATTGCAGCAAAAACTTCAGAACAGAATTCATGGCGCCTCTTCCAGTAGGGCCGACCTTTACAATTGTTGCTCTGTAGTAATAAATGCCAGAAGCAGGAACTGGTTGACATTGCACAAAGTGAGTTTTAAGTACCAGGGTGCTGGGGTGCCGACAGTGCTGTGAAAGGAGAATGGGGTCAGGGTCTGTCTGGTTTTAATCTTTGTGTTACTTTTCCCACCTGATTTTTAAGACCTGTGCTGCAGTGGTTTCCTTGCCTCCACTTCCACAGGGCGCTTCTCCTTGTCTATTTATAGCTGCATCTGTATATGTTCCAATCTTGTTACCAACTGTCTTGTACTTGCCTTTTAAGAGCGTCAAAACCTCTGATTTGCAAATCCTGTCCAGTTGCTTTCTCCACCTTGTCTCTACTCAGCCTCTTTCCTCTTCCTGTGATCTCTGCATCAGTTTCCATCCTTTTCCACATACATTTCCTTGTTTGTAGTAAAAACTGAATATAGTGCTCTTCCAAAAAGCAAATGAAAACTGTTTTGGTAGAATAACTGTTAGGGAAAGTGTCAGTGAGATTCAGCAGGAATAGTATTTGCAGTGTTCAATAAAACTCTTTCCCTTTTGAATTATGGGAAAACAATTTATAGAAGCTTGTCAGGCTTATTAATCTGTTTCACTTATGCATGTTTCTAGCCAGTTATTTAGATGAGCTTGAAAAAAATCCAGTCTGAAGGACAAAGGAATTCTGAATAAATGTTCCTGATTTTAATCCTTACAACTGACTCTAGTGGACAGATAGCAATCAGCACAAACTTGTCAATTTATTCTGCATTGTCTGTAATATACATTGTTTTTATCTAAAAATATGTCTTTGTGTAAAATGTGTAGGTGCTTCTAAATGGACAGTAATGATAAACCATGGTCTCCAAACCAGTTGAGCTTTTGTTATTTGGACTATCTAAATGGAAGTCTCGTATCATTAACAGTTTTACCGCAGCTAAATTTATGATTCTGCATCTCTTAAATTTTTGTTGTCTTCATCTACCTTCTTCAATACCTTTTAATAACTATGTTTTTTTTTCCTGTGTAGGGTGACTTAGCAGCTGTTGAACAGCTGCTGAAAAACGGGGCAGATCCCAATGTTAAAGATAATGCTGGCTGGACACCCCTGGTGAGTGTTGAAGAGTTTTTCTGTTTTTTTTTTTGTTTTTTTGTTTTTTTTTTTGTTTTGTTTTTTTTTGTCATCTGTCTTTTGATCAGTTTTCATTTCATCCCTCCTTTCCTCTCCTGTATTTTAGTTCCCTTTACATGAATTTAGGTGACAAAGAATTACGCAAAGTGAAGTAGTGATGATAAACAAGTTCAAAATAAGTTATTAGCAACTACTGACCTGCCCAGTCCAACTCTCCTTTGCTGGGGTAGGGCATGCCAAGAAATCTTACCAGCCTCCAATTCTGCAAATGCAGAAAATATAACTATGATAACTAGAAAACAATCAATTGCAGACAATGTGTATAATTTATGGGTTCTTAATGTCATCAGTGGTTTTTTACTACTTTGGAAAGATATCAAGTAGCTGAACGAAAAAATTGCTGACTGGAATTACAGAAAATAAACAAAAGGTTCTTTTCAACCATGACTTCTTCCTCTCTGGAAGAATACTCTTGACTGAGTCTGTAATCCGGGAGGCTTTGTTCCCTGTAGTCTAATTTGCACACAGTTGGCCTTTGTTCAGTCTTCTCTGTACTTTTTATTAGTGCTAGATTCCAAAGTTAATTCATGTCAGGAATGTAATGCAGTATCCTTGCATCGTCTTCCCTTACCATCTATGAAGAGGTATTTGAAAGTAAATGTGTTAACTGGTGTAACGGAGGTCCTTCCTCTAAATTCTATTTCACTTGAATTTTCTCTCTTCGCTACTTACGGATTTACCCAAATAGCATGAGGCATGTAATCACGGGCACAAAGAAGTGGTGGAGCTGTTGTTACAATACAAGGCGTTGGTGAATACTACGGGGTATCAGAACGACTCGCCGCTCCATGACGCTGCCAGGAACGGGCACGTGAGCATTGTTGAGCTGTTGCTTCTGCACGGTGCCTCCTGTGATGCAGTGTAAGTAGATGTGGGATGTTATTTTAACTGTGGCATTAACTACAGCTACAACTTCCAGGGTGCGTGTTAAGTAAATATGAAGCAAAGCTAGTAAAAAATGTGATTTATTTGAAGTGAGGGGGTGGATGTTAAACGTATGCTCTGCTGTACTTATATCCCCCTTTTTTCCAGGTAGGTCTTTTTGTTTTGCTTTGTCCTAAGCTTTTCTGAGGACATCTGAGTCATAGATAGCTGGAGTATTGGAGGCTGTATGAGGAAAGTAACAAAATAGGCTTACCCTATTCTTACGCTTTTCTGTTGGCATCTTGTTATAGCTATTGTCAGATCTAAGATGCTGAGCTCGATTAGTTTTGAACTGCTACAGCTGGTTTTTGTCTCTTTACTTCTACTATACTAATTGCTAGAAGAAGGTGTTTTTGTCCAGTCTGTTCTGTCTTAACAAATGGCATAGACACAGGCTGAGATTTGGGAAGGGTTTTTTATTTTTTCCATTCTGGATCAGAGCACTAATCCTTGGTCTGCTTTTTAATTAAAAAAACCAAATAAACAGAAAACTCATTAAAAAAAAAAAAAAAAACAAAAAAAAAAAAAAAAAAAAACAAAAACAAAAACAAAACCACAGACAAAACAAAACCAAAAAAAAAAACCCAAAACCCACAACTTAGAAATGTTTCCAGCTGAATCTTCTATACAGTTATGCCTCCTGAAGATTTTGGCATTTGCGTATAGGAGGTGCTAAAGTATCTGTTAATCTATGAATAACCCTGCAAGCTATTAGTATTTCAGAGACTAAATGTGGTTTTAGGTGTTGTAGTATTGTGCCAGGGCCTGTGTGTATAAAATTTGAAAGCAGTGCATGTTGTCAATAAGTGTGTGTGTATATAGTATCATGACAGGATGAAGCCTTGCGTGATGCATAAACAACCATAAAGAAGTTCAGCTTAATCACTTCAGCACTTCAGTATTTGCTCTTCAAGCTTATAGAATTAAGGGTTTTCAAAAACAGTCCTAATCTTTAATATACTGTTTTTTAAAACAAAAAACAACAAACTTGTAAAACTTTAGCATGAAAAAGTAAAACAAGGATCATTTGTTCATCTTTACTTTGTTCTTGAACAACAAAGACCGCTGCATTACACCTTGAAAAGCTGACAGTTTCAGAAACTTAATTTTCAAGCCACTTGAATGTTGGGAACTGGCTGTGTGGCGCACACTGGTATTTGAAAGGATGTCACAAACAGCTTCGATGCAAGGTTTTGACAGAACTTAAGCACTGGAGGATTTGCACAGCAGAGATTCGAACACTGACAGTGGACTCTTCAGGTGTCTTACTAGCCTTAGTCTCTGCTGCATGTGTTCATATAAACTGAGCTGAAGTTAAACCTCTTTCAGCTCATTCTGTGTGGGCAAACATGAGTTTCTATTGAAACAGAAGCTTTTTAATCATGGAATGAAAGATGTGTGTAAACCTTAAGCTCTGGCTTCGCTTTTCACCGAATACAGGTAATGTTCAGTTGTATATTAAAACAGTGTGATACAGGATATGTCATAACTCTGCATCTACCTACCTCTTGCAGTACCTCTAAGTATCAAAAATGGCTTCTAACCCACTTCAAAGTATGCAGTGTTCCTGACTTAATCTCCAGGGTACTTGGAATCTCTAGTGTGTGGTATTGATAAATATAGATACATTTTTTTTCTTTTAAATTAAAATCTTTTTGGAAACAAATTTAGCAGCCTTTAATCTTTGTTTCATTTGTCTGGCAAAAGGAACCACAGGTACTTTTGGCAAAAATCCAGTCCTTGTACATCCCCCCCTGCAAAAACTGAGGCTTCTAAATCTCTGTAGGCTATCTCTGTACATGTTACCATTGCACCACCGCCACCACCCCCCTGCTGCTAATTTTACAGGGAGTGTTAGAGACAGAGAAAGGGATGTACAAGCAAAGCGTTCAGGCTTGAATAGTAAGACTTTACTGACCTTTTCCAAACACTACCAAGAAACAACAGAAACAAGAACTGTATGTCTGAGACTTCTGAGAATCTGTCTATTGCCTGCCTCCCTTCCTCCCTGTGCCCTGCTAGCTTCCACCGATGAATTATGCTAAGATCCTTCCCTGGATTGTGACTCTGCAAACCTTACAGGGCTTTTTCTGCCACTGCTTCTGGTAGTTGTAGTCCCAATTAAACAGTGGTTGGATTTGAACCTTCTTCAATGTAGAAAGTTTAACTATTTTTTTTTCCTAGTGAATATGGGTGCCCTTATAATAAAGTCACATCTGACAAGAAGCTTGCTTTTCTTCAGTGACATTTTTCCTAGATCCCTGAAACCTGCAGACCACAGTTTTGAGAACAGGATGATCACTTAAGATGGTGCAATTATACCTCTTTTCAGTATGACTGGTTATAATTGGCCTCTTTGTACTTAATGCAGGATGTGCTCACCTTCACATCCAGGATCTTTAAAGTAGAAATTGAGCAGTGATGAGTAGAAATTGCATCTCTTCTCAAAGGTTTATTTTCTTTTGGAATATACCCGAGGAGTGCCTAAATTTAGAGATATGCAGTGTGTGAGCTAAGACTATACCAAACCAATTTTGCTAAACTGAAATATTTGTCTAATTTTAGATTGCTTTTTATTTTTTGGTGTATAAAACTCATTGTAGTCTCTTTGTGGGCTCTTCAGGCTCTCGATGAACTAACTTTCAGCCTAGGAGAGAGGGCCTCCTTTATCCTAGCATATTAAAGCGATTCTTCATTACCTTGTGGGTGTGGGGAGGAAAGTTTGATTAGTTCACTGTGGTTTCTTAAAGTCTTTTCCTTTAGCTAAGTAAAATGTGAACGTGATAAATGTATTCAAATGTTACTCGGGACATTGAAATATATATATAGCATGAAACCTCACAAAAGTGACTGATGTCTTGCTGCTGTTTTGATCGTAGAATTAACTCAGTTTTTTGTCTTAATGTCCCTTGTGTGGTGGAGAGTTAATCTACTGGAAGAAAAACAGAGCTTGTGTTGAATAGCCTGCTTAGAGCAGTAGTTTTGGAATTTAGTATGATACTCAATTGTGCAAGATGAAATATTTTTTTTAAAGATGTGCAGTATTTACTGCCTGCAGGCCCAAAGGCAGGTAAGATCCACTGGTCTGCAGAGGGTTGTAGGATATGTCTGGGAGCAAATAGAGCTGATTTCTAAGGGACCTTAATTCATGAGGCGCACAGATATGGGCATAACTCTAGCCATCAGAGTGCTGAGATTTCGCAATTTCAGATTTAGATCATCAGGTTCACAGACTCAGCAAGTACATCTCATTCAGGTATCTTTCAGCCTAGTTTCTTCTGCTTGCATGTTAATACATAGTACATTAAGAAGTAACTGTATGTAATGTGAAGCAATGACATATCTTTTGGACCAAGCAAATGCAAATGAGAACCACCTCTTTTGCCAGCAAGCAGTCCTGGGATTTCAGTATTCTTTGGCAAATTTTTTTTTTTGGAAATCTAAGTGTGGCACTTTGTTTGCCATTCGAGGCTTTCACTGACTGGGAAAGATGAACTACAAATGAAAATATTATATGGACCAGTGGACCTATTAATTGTCCCGCTGGTCTACTTAATTTTTTTTAAGTTAATCTCCTACACGTAACTAATTTTTATTTTTATGGCTTTTTTCATGTGCTCTCTCTCTTGAATTCTGTCTTTTTTCCTTGCTTCAAAGCAAGCCAAGTGATTTGAAAAATTAGATCTGTGCATTTGCAATTTCACAGTACTTCCTAAATGCTTTCATTCAAATGGGCTATCTTGCCAGTTCTTCATGCACAATAAGTTTAGCATTAGTAAAAATTGTTGTGTTACTTTTTTTTTTTTCCTAGGCACTTGCTGTCTTTGAGTAGTTGTGAGTCTGATTCTGAACATGTGGGAATACTTAGGAATAGACTGTGGTCCTCGATTATGAGTGGCATAGGGACAAAAACTATTATAACCTGCAGTTAATTCCGGGAGGCATTAGACCCATGACAGTTGACATAATTTTTGTCTGCTTTTTCTAAATCAAGATAGTGCAGGACTTGTCTGTCTATGTGCAAGACTGTATGCTTAACGGCCTGCTGACAGCAGGTTAATTAAAACCCTGTCCTTGTTTGGATATCTAAGATGGGCTTTCTAGCTACACAGAATAAGGTTTTTTCCTTCTATCAGGTTCAAATAAGATCTCTGCTTACCACACTCTCAGAATACGGGTGCTGACTGGAGAGCCTCAAACTGGTCAGATTCCCGTATGGGAGTTAGTGGTTACAGTACTGCACTGGGACCTGGTTGCAGGACTTCCATTCAGTACTGAACTCTCTTTGTGGGGACGGGGTTAAACTTGGCTTTGTGCTCAGCTGTGGAACAGCAAATAACTTTTGGTGTCAAAATGGAGCATCTTAAAACTCCTCATTAAAAAGTATTACATAGTCGTTGTTTTACTTGTATCAAAAGCTGTGAAAGTTTGGGGCTTCTGAAGAATTGACAAGGATGTGTCTCCCTACTTATCATCTCCCCTCTGGTTGCTTCTTTCCTGAAAGTTTACTGAAACATTTAGATGGTAGCTGTTAAATTTCTCTTTGACTGCAGAAGTAACCTCTGTTGTCTTGCTACCCAAGACTTCAGTGATACTGCATGGTAAACTGAATCCCATTTCTAAAGCTTTTCCTAAGAAGTTCTTTGATCTGTCAGTCCTTAAGATATCATCTGTCATCTCATGTAAAGTCCTACTCAGCAGATTAGATTGAGTTTGCTCTTCACTGGGCTCATCTTTGTTCTCAGCACAGACGTATCCTACTCTTTGATTGGAATTTGTTCTAGCTGTAAGAGCCCTCTACTGCCTATTCAGTACCTTGATGGCTGACTAATAGGAGACTACTGCATCAAAGGATACATCTGACTCTTGAGTGTTTAAAACAACTTGCAAAAAGCCCACTTGCATTCTGGTAGAAAGAAGTATGCCTTAGAGACCTGAATATTCTAGCTTAAGCACCAGAGACACTTATTTCTCTCTTGTAGAAACAATTGTGTCTGTCTTCTCTCTGAGTGCGGAACTTGTCCTGTTAAGCAGTCGTGTGCATCAGACTCATTCTCAACAAACCCAGACCTGTAGTAGGAGCACACAAGCATGGTTGTTGATATTTCTAAAAATGCTGTGTTTGTGTGTTAGGGCAGACCTAATGTACATGTCTCAATTTTGTTTCGCAAACTGGAACAAAATTAATTTTTTGCTCTGAACAAGGTGGGATGATTGCTCTTGTTCAGCTTGGCTGAATGAAGGCAGATTTGAGCATGCGTTTTTGCCAAAAGCTTCCGTTTCCCATTCCTGTGCCTTACTGGTGTTCTTGTAGCTGCATAGATCTAGTCCTTGATGCTGATTATAATGTTAAAAATAATATGCATTCCTAATACATTAAAAATGATTCTGCTGGTAGCTGTACTGATAAGTGTACCAGCCCAGCAGAGACGGGGCAAGGTCTCTTTCTGAGCATCATTACTTTTTGAATGGTTAGTGGGTGCCTAACTAAAAAGAACAAATCTGTTTTTAATCCCTCTTGAAAAGGATGTGTAAATTACAGCAATACCATATGTGCAATCTATTGTTAAGATGTGTTCCTTGTCTTAGTTTTTATTTTGTATACCCTCTCTTCCCCTGTTTCAGCTACTTTTTCTCACTTTCCTTAAGCTCAACAACCTGCTTTGTTGCAAACATTCAAAACTCGTAAACCCACCCCTCGGGTTGGTGTTCCTTTTTTCAGACCTCAGCTCCCAAGTTTGTCACATTATACTTTAACTGTGCCACTTTAACATCGTATGAATAGCCATTAATTCTTCAATGCTGTGTAATGAAGTTCTATATTTAACTGTGGTGGTCTATATATTTATTTATGGTAAACATTCATGAGGGGCTTTTTTAACAGTCAAGAGTCTTACTGTGACTTTGGGGGATGGGGCAGGACATGTGGCATGCTCCCAAACCTCTGCTACTGACATGCAGTGATTTCCTCCCCTTCCATAGTTCACAGTAAAAGGTCAGTCTTCAAGTCTAAAGGTGATTTTTAGTGTATGTGCTAATATATATAATTTCACCCCCCCCCTCTCTGAGTGCATTGTTCAAAGGAACTCTATCCTGCAGTAGTTTGAGTTGAATATGGCCCTTATTTAAAGAAAGGGCAAAAGCTACCCTGATGATGCATGACAAAGCAGGAACAGCATGACAATATTTAATGGGCTGCAACTCCCAGGACTGGGCTGAGATTTAACCAATTATCTTTTAGTCTGTAGAATTTGTATTGTGCTAGCTCTTCACTCATTAATAACACAGAAGAGCTTGGGGTTGGTAATACTGTAAAATTAGCAATTGTAAAATATCATCCCAGAATTTTCTGTGTGGGACTTCAGTGGATTGTTGTTTTCCCAAGAGGCTATGTTAGTGAGCAGTGCTTGGTCAGGGGCATAGAAAGGTGCTGAGGTCAGATGCACTTTTCAGCTTTGCACTGGCCAGAGCCCCACAGTTAAGTCAGAGTGAAGACTTAATGATTTGAGCTTCTCTTTGGGCTGGATTAGGTTGTGGCCTTATGTCGAATTCCCTATAAAGCTTCCTAGATTCCTACTCTGCACAGGAACGTGTGGCTAACGAAGAGCGCTTTGAAGATGCAATGGTTTTTTGACCTCTTTAAATGTTTCATGGTTTGATGACTAAGTTTGCCAGATTTCGGATACTGAGTCAAGGCTTTGTTCTTTGTGACAAGCTTCCCCTCCATAACGAGCTCTTATACCTTTTGAGAGCCACCAGGTGGGGAGAAGAGGATCATCTGGAATAGCCATTGTTCTCGCAAAGAGCAAAGCAAGCAGAATATTTCCCAAGACTACTGGCAGAAGATCATGCTTGTTAATGGCAATTACACCTGTTCTGCAGTTTGGAGCTTTCCTCTGCTCCCTGCCATCCTGCAACTGTAAAGTTGTGTGAAGAAGAGATAGAAGCTGTGGCTGTGCTTGATGTTGTGTTTGTAGCAAATCATATCTGTCTGAGTAACGCAAAAAGAATGGGGAAGGAAATGGGTCTTGAAGCATATCTAATAGCTATGAGGTGCCACATAGGATGAATAGTGTTCAACAAAATTGGCAAGCCAACTAATATCTGAATGAATTGGCTCTAATGTGTTCTGTGGAACAGCATAGAGGGAAAATGAGATGCATACTCAAATTTTGGAAGTGCAAGGGAGCCACAGTTCCCAAGTAGGAAGCAGATAGCTTTTCCCATAAAAGCATAACCACATCAAGCTCCAGTGTTTAACACAGTATATATAATCTTCTGTCGTGTCTTTTATGGCAAATGGATAAGCCAAAAATACATTTCTTGGTTATATGACTGCAACAAAAGATTAGAGCTGAAATTTCTGGGTCTTGTGAATGATATCAGTGCATTTTGAAACAGTTTAACAAGGACTGTGGTTTATTTAACTGAACATGCTGCTCTGAACATCCCTTATTCCTCAGCTGAATGCAACAGCTTGTAATTCCGTATCCATCTGTCTTGGATGCAATTCTTACTTGAAGCTTTGTGGTTTTTAGCTGAAATTACATATTAATAAGAAAGTGGGAGGGAAAGCTACCCAGCTAATGTGCCCAGTTAGTTAAGAATCAAGTCACATTTTATTTACTTAAACCCATCTGTGCTTGTTTTGCCAGTAATATATTTGGTCTGCGGCCTGTGGACTATGCAGAAAGTGAAAAGATGAAGTCTGTGCTAATGTTACCAGTGAAGAATGAATCATTTTCACTTAACCAACCCTCTGAGGTAAGTGTGTGCGTGTTTTTCATTTTGTTTTGCTTTTTTAAAAAAGATAAATCCATCCCGTAAGTATTGAAGGCTTGGATCTAACTACAGTACATCACCTGCCTTTGCAGGGAGATTTAAAATAGGCTGGGAAATTAACTTGGACAATGTTTCTAGAATGTATGTGGGACACTTACAAGCGGTGATATTCTATGTTACAACCGAATCTGGGAAAACAAAGGATGTTTCTTGTCATGTGGCTTTATTATAGGAGAATGAATGCTGTGTTATTCTTGAAGCATTGTTGACTTAACTTTGCTATTGTTGTTTTTCTGCGTGTTTTAAATTTGTTCTACTAGCCGAGCTAGCTGAAAGCAGCAGCAGTTTTTTGCTCCAGGTACTTTTTGGGTGCCTTTAAAAGGCTGTTCCTGTATTGTCCTTTGTCCGACAATTAAGATATCAGCTCAGTGGTTGAAGACAGCTTTTGGAAGATTGTTCTGGGTTTTTTGTTTTTCCCCCTCTTTTAGCGAAAGACTTCTCAGGACTTGTGACCAAAATCAGGTTTTTCAGCCTTAATGAGTTACTGCATTATGAAATGCTTTGTGCTCCTGATGAAGGGTAGTTAAACTGACCTGGCTGATACACAAGTGGTCCTGGTTTACTCCAGGATATACAGCCTGTTATGATCCCTCCTTGTTGAGGTAATAAGATATCCATTGGCCAAAAGTAAACTGTTGCGGCTAAATCAGCAAGGATATGACTATTCCTCCCACCTGTAGTGAATGTAAGATTCAGCTCTTCTGTCACAAACAAAACACTCAGTATTTGCATTTGCTTTGGGATGAGTGTGTACCAATGGATGGCTACCAGCTCATATGGCTGCCACGATTCATGGCTTTGGGGTAACTGGGTCTCAGCTATGTCTGTACTATGGAATCTGGGAGTACTTACAAAGACCCAGGAGCTAAAGTACCACATCCTTGTCAGCATAAAACTTGAGCAAGCAGATTCTCTTTGCATTACTAGTATCTGCATAAAAACCCACAAGCATTCATTACTTACAGAGCAATGTATCAAGGACTTCTTACTAAAAGGAAATGCAGGTGTTAATTATACAGGTTACTCAACACATTGGTAGTGTATCTGTTGCTAATACTTTACTAAAAGTAGGAGGCTTTACTACTTTATTGGGAAATTTTTCTTCTCCTTCAACACTGTAGTCAGACAGGCTGTTTACACAGTGATCAACCATCTGTATGTGTGCACACAGGTATATTAAAAAAACCAAACCAAACCAAAAACAAGCCAAAACCCAACAAAACAAACAAGCAAAAAAAAAAAAAAAACAAAACCTAAGAAAAAACTGATGCACAAACTTTTTTGGTACCTTACATAAGCTAAATGAAGTATCTGTGATGTCAAACTTTTTTCTTCTAGAGCTGGTTTGTTATATAGAGGTTTATTTATGGACCCTGTCCACTAAGCTTGCCAGGAATTGTTTTTCAAGATGCTTATTCTTAGTAACTAAAGCTGTCAAACAAGTTAGTTGCCTTCTTTGTTCCCAAACGTTCAGCTTATTGCAGGATCTTCTGTTCATGCAGGCACTGAGCCCCAGTCAGCCAAGAGATGGACCTCTTGGTATACTGGGGAGCAACCTTACGTCAGAGCAACAGAAATTGCTGAAAAAACTAGCAACAGTTCTGAAGGCTCAGAAGTGTACTGAATTTAACAGCAGAGGTACGTAGTCTTGTTGAAATGTCTCTGTCCAAATATAAGTAATTGCAGTTTTGCACTTTATCCTCTAAGATAGTAGCTGCAACAGTTTGTGTGTGTTTTTTTTCTTTTTTATCGTTCCTAGTAAGCACAGTTTCTGAAGTCCCTGAATTATAGCCGTAGTAGAATGATGGTGTGTTGTTGCATGTAAATGCATATAAAGCCTGCCCTGGGTACTGAGGCAAGAGACTTCTAGGGGAGCCACAGTTTGACAATATATTGTCTGTTATGTAAAATCCTGAAGTCCTCCTCAAAGACCTCTTCTCTTTACACTACTTCTACCAATTTTAAGGTCTCTGCTCATATGAGACATCCTGTAAAGTTTTTATAATCCAAAAGTGGTTTTAGGCAGATGGTGCCTTTAGAAAAGGGCATGTCATTAACTAAAAGTTGACAAATTTCTTCGCATGCTACCTTCCTTCAAATTTTGTTTTTCATTAAGATGATGGAGCCAGATTATGGGGCCTGGGGGCGTTTTGTTCCCTTTTGAGGAGGCAAACACTGTCTTAATGCTTTCTATTAGTTTTTCTTTGGAGTGCTGCTTTTTCTGCTTGTGAAAGAAATGCTAAGGTAATTTTCCCCTACCATCTTTCACACCTGATTACCACTTCAAAATTGTGAGTTGAGTCCTGTTAGATTTGTGTTAAAGCAGTAAGATCCCATAGTAGGATTCCTGTCATAGTTAAATATAACTTCAAAAGGATTAAAAAACCCCTAAATCTATCCTATAAACCAGAGCCTCCTCTGAAGATTTCTTAGCTTAGAACTGTAAAAACGTGACTTCCTTTTTTTACAGCAAGTGTATGTTGAAACCTACATTTCTAATAGTGCTTCTACTTACTCATATCTTAGTCTCAAAAATCACATACTTGTGCTGTCAAGAATGGTTGATAAATTATTATAGTCTGTTTATTCTTTAAATGGTGATTGATTGCTTTTCAGTCAGGCATAGTTCTGATTTTTATGTGCTTTTACTTCTACTGATGTAATCTTTCTCCTAGTAACTCATCTTGTTATTCCTGATGTTCCAATGCCAAGTACCATCAAATGTATGATGGCTGTTCTGACTGGATGTTGGGTCCTCAAGTTTGAATGTAAGTATTAAATATATGGGATTCTTCAGGCTTTTTAATCAGAAACTGTAGATGGGATTCCAGAGGAAATTTTCTTTTTCAACAACTGCCCTAATATCAATACTAGCCTAACATAAAATGTGAGGGTTTTGGTTTTTAATCTCCTGAATGACAAGAGATTTAATTAAACACAACTACTCCTTCCCTGGCAAATGTGTGCGTTTCATTATTAGATGTACTGGATAGGTCATATCCTAAGTATCCTACATTAAGAGTGATTTGGAAGACTGGAAAATATCCTGAGAGGGGAGGAAGGAATTTGTTAAATTCTTGGATTTCCTATAAGCTGCTTCCATTGAAACTGATAGGAAGCTCTTGCTTGCTTGGGGTATGTGATCAAGGCCTGTGGGAAGGTAAGGTGTTGCCTGTAAACTGAGATCTGTTGAAAGTTACAACTTCTAACCAAGGTTATGCTGTCAGCTGATCATAAACCCTGTTTGTACTTTCCACTAAGGTTTTCCATTTGCTGAGAAAATTGTCAGGCTTTGCCATCACAGGCTCAGGCAGATGAAATGTGTAGGTAGCTTTTGATACCCGTTTCTGTACACGTGAGCCCTGCAGACTGGAGTGCTCTTCAACTAAAACAGTAATCTCCAAGGAAAGATGACATGCGCAGTGTCCCCTTAGCATGCAAGTAGTTTTGATGTAATCATCCATGCAATCTGTAATTTGTTTTTATATTGTGTGCTTTTTTTGTTCAGGTGTTCTGTGGACTTATGCCCCAAATTCTGCTATTTATTCATTCTTTCTAATGTATTTCTTAGTATTGGCTTTCACAGGAGTTGTAAAAGCCATCTTCTTCCCCATGACCTTTATGGCTGAGTCCTTTTAGCTAATAAGTACACTACAAATGAGTTAATTATCCATGGAAAACTCACAGACAAATTTCATTCTGGTTTTCCACTGTGTGACTGAATATCAGAATATAAGGATTCTTTAATGGTCTAAATCTTCCAGTCACTAATGTTTATGAAGGCACTGCTTAAAGCTTCAAAAGATGCATAGTAGCTTTTCAAATAAGGCACATGATCAGACTCTTTAAACATTGGACTCTCTTTCAGAGTGTTCATTAGCCTTCCAGATAGTCAGTGGGCTTGTTCCATGTTTTTATAAAAGGGTCTGTCAAATTAGTGTTGCTTCAGAAATGTTTTCTGCAACAGCTGGAGTGGCTTTTGTTTGTTAGAAGCATTTGCAATGGGAAAACATTGTGTTGCCTTTGTACTGTGATTCTTACAGGAGTAGCTTCTTGTTGAATATGTAACATGGAGAAATACTGTTTATGCTTAGGCATGATGTATTCAATAACCTCCAGACCCTTTGTTGATAAGTAGAAGGGAGTTGGTTTCCTGTTTGGAGGTAGGGATGCATCCAGGAAGCTTAGAAGGCCTACAAGTGGTGTTTGGGTTGTGTAATCAGAAGGGGTCTGTGCAGGTGCTCTGGAATGGTATCCTGTTTAACTAGGACTGAATAATCTGTTTCTGTGGTGAGTCGCTTTGTAGGTTCTCGGCTTCACTCAGTTCAGGAGGTCTGCATGCCTTCTATCATATGTGCTAGGGTGGTTTTCCTTTATTTCATTTTATTTTCTTGCTAGTTGGATGCTTAGAAAACTTCAGCTGAGTGGTTGGCAGATTTAATTGGTGAAACCTGAATTTAAATCTTTGTGGAAGAACTTTTATATTTAGAAGTGATTGGAAAAGAAAAAATAAATGAAAGTGTGTGTGTGGGGGGGTTATTCAGGGAATACTGTCATATTTTTTTGTTTGCAGCTGAGTTTTATGTTGTTAGTACTGATTAGTACAATCCTGACTGCTAATGCTGCCAGCTTAGTAAGCAACATACTACTTAAAAGCGAGTGATTCTCCTCCCTAGTGGGAAATGTTAGTAATAACTCATGGGGTCTGATGCAGCTAAGTGCCTATAATTAACAGCACCACTCCATCTGTTCCCACCAGTCTGTTATTAGTCTTCTTCAGAGTCATTACAAGTTAAAGATTGTTATAACAAATAATGGGACTCCTGCTGATGGAACATTTGTCTAGGAAAAAGAGGTCTTTGCTTTTCTTTTCCATAATCTCTCTCTTTATTTATCATGGCTTTTTGACTTCTATTTGGATAAGTTTGCTTAAATGTGATACAAATAAACTTCCAAAAGTGTGCATCTTCAGTCTTACTTATATCAAAGCCACTGCGAGTAAGTTGAAGGAGTTGCTTATAGTTCAGTATTTTAAACCATTCAAATTAAATTCATGTTCAAAAACTTCATTGAAATATATGAAAAAACAAAGTTCAGTGTAGCACAACGAAATGCTGACAATGCATAAGTGAGTATTTGAAATTTTTTTTTACTACAAGGTAAGCTGCATTTGACTGTTACTTCTAAAGTTATATTTATAGCCTACACATAATTACACCACTTCTTTAAAAAACATTGCATGCTGGCAAAAACTAGTATTTCATTTAAGAGTGTAATTCTTACGTTAACTCTTCCGTTATGACAAGCTTTCAAGCTGTGTTTTTCTAATAAAAAGCAATTTCCTTCTCTTGTATAGTTCTGTGGCGTTTCCGTTTACATGTGCCTATACGCACAGATGCAGCATCCATTAGTATCAGTAGAGAGGTAACGTGAAATTTTCCAGCAGAGTTTGAGCTAAATGTAAGGCCTCTGAGTATTAGAGGGGCAAGATTTAAACATGTATCTTCTGTTTTGGAGTTCCCTCTTGACTTCAGGTAGAAGGTAAGGATGAAAGGATGTTGCCATTTAGCAATATTAGATCTTCACAGAAGAAAAATTTCACCATAGTAGTTACATTTCCATATTTTCCTTATATAATACACTGTCAGCAATACATCCACTTTCAAAGCAGCACAGAATTCAATTGAGACACTGTTGTCACTGTGCTCTTTGCCCTTGGCCATATCTTTCATTGGTTTCATTATTTTATTGCCTTCATTATTTCTGGGATGGTAATAGGGCACAAAGTAGCATATCATTATCATTCTGCAAGTAGGCTGAGACAAAGATTCAAGTATCACTCTATTTCCTCTGTGCTTTTTGTAGAGCATAGAATAGTGTAATTAAAACCAGCAGAAGTCTTTAATGGCTTTTCGGGTTGTTTTTTCTTAAGCTGATTGTCATCTGCTAAAGCAGGGAATGAAAAATGATCATGGCAACGATATGCATTGAAACAAGCTTGTGTCATTCTTCGCAGCAAAGTATCTGGCAGAATTCTAAGCATCTGATTGCTTATTCCTTCGTTTGTTTTGCTTACCTGAAGCAGCAGCAATGATTCAGCTCTGATCACTTAAAAGAATGCAAAAAAACCCCCTGCCTTTCCTGTAAGGAACAACTGGGAGCTGACTGGAAGAGCTAGGGGATCGCATGACTGACATTTCAAGGCGAAAACATCTTCCTGAATTTCTTGGAGCAATACGCCCATCCCTTGTTTAGGTTATTAGTTGAGGGAAGTGCAAAGCTGTTTGAGCTGACTGCTGCTCAAGCTGGACTGTCTCTTTTCCATGCATAAACATCTGTTAGGTAAAGGGCTGATACTCAGCAAAGCTCTCCCCCCCCGCCCCCCTTAGAGCAGCTCCAAACTTTTGATCACTGGAGTTTCATGCTTGTTTGGCAGTTGGGAGACTTCAGCTGCCTTCTTCTACAAAAGGACTCACAGCTCTGTGGGAGGTGGTAGAAATACCTAATGTGCATATTCATGTTCTAGTTGTATTGGGTGTACAGCTGAGGGGAATGTTTTACATTAACAGGGTCTGAACTTCTGCACTTCCACAGTGTCTGCACCTTCTGGAAAGGAGGAGGGAAACAGTTTTGCTTCAAAGTCAGCACAAATTTAGACTGTGAAGCTGCTGGGGTTTGCAGAGGAGAAAGTGGGGATGAGAATGTCTTAAATGTGGTGTTTGCCTTTGCCTGCAGAGCTAGGAAGTGGGCTGGTTTAAAATAAGGTCTAGAGGAAAAGGAAACCATGTTTCCACTGCTCCCTCTGTTGTGTTATCCAGATGCTCAGTTCTTCATATTTAGACAGTTCTTTTGCTCTAATTCAGTTTCGGTTTGAAGAAAACATTGCATTAAGGAAGCCCAGTGTGAGGAAAGGGATGGGAAATACTACCTTGTTCCTTTAAAAGCATGTGACGGGATCCAGAGGATGAGCCCAGCCGGTGGAATTTAACCTGACCTCTGCAGCTTAGGAATGGCTACCTCCAGTCACTTTGATCAGGCTAGAAAACCACTGTGGCATAGAGGTTTCTTAAAAAGATAGGACACTTGGGGATTTAAGGGAAGCAATGATTTTCATATTATATGTTCCTAGCTTTTGGGAATTGATCTTTAAGGACTTGCTAAGCATCTGCTCCATCATGTTTAATAAATATCACCTGGATTAATTTAAATACCATTCTTAAGCAGATTCATTTTGGTCTCTGCAGTGTCTTGTGTCATTTCCATTTGTTGGACTGCTCTTGTTTTACCAAATGTGATCTCTACCTCCCTGATTCTCAAGTTACTTTATAAGCATATAAGAGGCAGTATAAAAATTCTTTTTGGTGCTGTAGTGGAGACCAGTAATGCTATTGATGAAAGTAAATTGATGTTAGCTATGCCAGATTCCCCTAAGAGTTTATCTCGGCCCAGATTTCTTCCTTTGCTAGGAAAATAATCCCATCAAGCTTTACTCAATCTGCATGTAAGTCTTAAAACCCGTTGCAGACTGAGCTGAGGAAGTTTCAGTTGCAATCTCTACTAAATCTTGGATGTGTAGTATTCTGTCGTCTTTGTTGCTATCATGTATTTCTAAATTACTTTTGGCTGTTCAAAGAGATTTTTGGGACTAACCCCTGCTCTTTTGCTTTATTAATGCAAATCCAGCAAAACTCCGGTAAGGCTAATTGAGTTACTGAGAGCTACCCTTGGGTATCAGGGTGATTACAACTTGTTCTTGGCAACCAGTTCT